GGTAGAGAGAGAGAGAGAGAGAGGTAGCCATTTTGGCTCAAGGCCGTGAGTGGTTCAAGGTCCGAGCCCGTAAAACTGAGAGAGAGGAGGATCTCAAACCCGGTGCGGAGGGGGAGAGAGCTACAGTGACCCGCGCCCCCTCGCCATCGTCCCGCACGTGATCCTCGACCGTACATCGCGTCTTCCTGCTGAGGGTCCGGCCGGGGGACATAGTCAAGGTCAGAGCAGAAGGGTGACTTAGATCCGGCGAGCGGGGGACTCCCTGTACTGCTTTGTGAGCAAAATCGGCGAGCCTACAGGGGGACAACCAGAACACAAACTTCGAGCCCTCCATCACCGCTGGGCGGGGGACTCCAACCACTACCTGATCGAGAGCTACCGCGAGAACGGCGACCTAGCAAAGATCCAATGGCGACCGCCAGCGGCCATGGAAGCGGGGGAGAGCCCGACCCCGCAGTCGCGGGACGCAAGCGCCAAGCTCTGGGGGACGAAGATGACAGCGAGCGCCCGCTCACCCTCTCCACACTCTTGGAAGCCCTCAAGGAGAACCGGGAGGAGATCGTGGCTAAGGTTCGCACCGACATGGAAGGGTTGAACACTAGGGTCAATGAGGTCGAGCAAGCTATGCAAGTGCACGTGACGCATACCACACGCCTGATGCAAGCCATGACAGACCGACACTGTGCAATGGAGGAGAGCGTCAAAGAGGTCGGGGAAAAGCAGAGCTCGGTGTTGCAGCGACTCGAGCTCCTCGAAGGCAAATTTGCTAAAGCCGACTTCCCAGTGTCTAGCACTCGCACCTCGGATTCAGAAACCGGGGGACAGAAGCCCGCCCTCATCATTGGGGGATGGGACTCGGACCAGCACCACGAGGAGACCCTCCGACTCATGCGGAAGCACATGCAGGACCTCAAAGCCGACCTGGACATACGCCAAGCGTTTGTTCCCGGGCTCCGCAGGGGGTTCACTATCGTCCCTCTTGCTAAGATACCGGGGGAAACTGACGCTGACCAGCGTGCCCGCATACAAGGTGTACTACGACTTGTGCGCGAAGCAAAAATCATCACAGGACAGCGTCCGGAAGGGGGACACCGCTACCTCTTTGCCACAATGTCGCAGAGCCCAGAGAGACGAAAGCGAGCTCAACTGGCAGGAAAAGTCAAGCGACTCATCATTGAGGAAGGGGGCGACCCCTCCCGCATCGAGGTCGAGTACGGGACTGCAAACTTGTGGTACAACAGCGTGAAGCTGGCCTCGGGGGTGACCTCGGCACCAAGTGGCGCCTCAGTCGAGAAAGCTGGTTGGGTGCACCTTGGGAACCTGACGCGGCAAATCGGGGGATCCGAAGAAGCAGTGACTACGCGGTGGGATGACCTCCGCAAAGCGCTGATGTGAGTCGACAAAGACAATGCAGCTTCGGGGGACGTCACGCGCCCGAAGCTCAGAGAGAAGATGCATGCCCTAAGCTGGAACGTCGGGGGACTATCTGCTGCTAAAGCACTAGATGCGATCCTGGCTCTCCGTCGCGGGGGAATTCAGCCTTTCACCGATACCCTGGTCTTGCTCGTACAGGAGATCATCTGCGAGCCGGGGAAACACCATGCTGAAAAGGACGAGCTGCAGATTCTCTTCGGCAAAGGACCCGAAGACTGGCGGGGGAATGCCGTAGTGCATACCTCTAACCTGCAGCACACCCGTGGAAAGGTCTTGTCGTGTGCGCTCAGCTGTGTGCTTTCCTCCCAGACCCAACAGAACCCAAGAATCTCAGCAGTCTCCATACACATCCCCCACCACGCACCTTATCACACACAGAACAAATCCTTCAGCAGATCCAACCCCATATTCATGCCACCAACAAGACAATCGTGGGCATCGACGCGAATGAGAGCTTCACCTCCGCATGTCAGAACAAGCAGATCAAAGCAGCAACAGCACGGGGGGAACTCCTCCTTCAATGGTTCGAAGAGCAACAGCTACACCTCCCTGAGCAGCAATTAGGGAAAGCAAGCCACTTTCCATACAACCACCAGATGGAACCGCGACGCCTTGACTACATCCTCGTGAAGCATCTGTTGTGCGACCCCGGGGAAGTACTAAACCACCGAGACATTGCTACATCTGACCATGAAGCCATAGCCGTCCCGCTCACCCAGGTGCAAATTCGACCAGCTGAACGTAAACCTGCACCGGCATGGACAAGCCGCAGTTTGTTGTCGAGCACCAAGGTGAAGCAAGTCTTGGAAGATTCCCAGGGGCGCGGGGGCGACCCCGTTCGCCTCATCCAGGACGTGGCGGTCGAGATCACTCGCCCAGGGAAAGCAAGACGACCCTTCCGCGAAAGCAGCGAGCTCAAACAACT